AAAAACTTTTGTTTAAACTATCATAAACTATCAAGAACTATTAAACATTAAATGAAAACAATTATTCATAAGTTTCCACCAAATAATATAATATGCCAGCTTTACAGGTCCATTATTTGATCTTCATTTATTATAATTATCGCTTCATTTGAGAAATTATGAAATCTATAATATATACGACAAAATAATATTATTGCAGAATGTGATTTAATATTATTCAAGCCATTTTACGTTTCGAGCAATAATTCTCCTAATTAGTTTAATAAAATTTTGCTAGCTTTTTATTCCCAACGGCAAAGTTAGCCCGCAACCTTATAAAATTAAACATTCTAACGCGCACATGCAATTGCGGTCGTTTTCCCTAGAGAAGTTTCATACGCGAGTAAGCTTTTTAGTTTTCCTGCGCGATAATCGTCAAAAATTTCCAGCACAACGCCCTTTCCATTCTCATCCTCGCGCACAACAATGCATAACCATAAACGCGGTTTAACTTCTCACGATATATTTAAGCCACATGTTTATTTAATTGCTTCTTGCGGTTTAATTAAATTTTAACGTTCAATAAAGTCTCAAATATAATCTTTGTACACAAAAGAGCGCATCTTCTCTCCTTCCATTTTTCCCCAGTTATTTCCTTTTCTATTCATAAAAAGAAAATTATATATTGCAATACTTTGCTGCATTTTCTATTAATAATTTTTTCTCTCAAAAATTTTATTAAATATTTAACATCAATTCATTATTGATTTTATATATAAAAATATAAATTAAAGCTAATTTGTTCATAGTTGTATTAAGTTGTAGGATAAATCTTTTGCATATATGTATAATAAAGAATATTTCCTTTAAAATATATTCTTTCATGCAAACGTAATCTTTCAGAAAGCTGCGCTTTCTGCAAGTAATTTCGAAATCACGGTCTGGATTTTATCTTTAATATTCTCCAAAACTAATTCTATATAGTACAACTTTTCTAAACTTCTATTGGAATAAAAATCAAAACTTTTCGTAACAAGCACACGAATATATTCCGATTTTTGAGAATTTTTCAAATATTAATATTTCTTTTCCCCAAGTAAAAGAAAGTCAAGTTAGCTACGAGTTTAAATTTCACAATCATATTATGTCATTAAGAAAGAAAGATATTACGTTAAAATGTTTATCACACAAACAGATTAATTTTGATAGCCTTTTTCGCGAGCTCGCATATGTGTGCGCTTCGTAATAAATTTCAATTTTACGGTAAGACATTAAACACTGCGTTTTGATCCGACAATACAGTCGGGCTGATGCATCGGTAAACTTTCCCGGCAACTTTTTAAGCCTGTTTAAACTGTCAACTTTTATCGGCCATTACTAACATCGAAGGGGATGGTTTTAACCGATTAATTCGCTATCAAAATCGATAGGGGATGGATATTTGTGATGTACAATAACGCGCAAAATGGGGGCAGCCTAGCGTTTACGTATTATGCACGTGTGCCTGTTTGTATTGTAACATCGAGCAAAGACATGATTACGATTATGTTCGCTTGCTAACAATGCCTGCGCGCTTGAAAATATTATTAAAGAGGAATTAGAGATAGATAGATAGATAGATAGATAGATAGATAGATAGATAGATAGAGAGAGAGAGAGAGGGAGAGAAAACATGTCAATATTGTTAGTTGGTAATTCAATCAACATTTGTCGAATGTTTGCATTTTTGATTGGTCAATAGAAACCGCAATGCCGGCTAAATACGAGCGATATACAGATAACTTTGCAAACACTGTCGGACAACTTTCGTTTTCAGCCGCGAAAGTATACCGAGCACGACAAACAATTTAGGAAAACCGGTTAATATTTGACTAGAATGGCCGCAATTAATCGGTAATTCAATGTATACACAAATCCGTCCGTTCGCCTCTATCAATCTCTTAGAGATAATTATGTGCCTATATCACACAAATTTGCTGAATCGAGGCAAATAAGACTTGATGTAATTGTCAAATAAATACACAACATAATAGCTGTGCCGATCTAAAAAATCTGCAAAGTATTTAACAAAAATAATAAATTATAATATCTACATAAACTTGCATTTTCCTCTAAAAAATAAATCGTTCAAAAAATTTTTATACGAATGTTCCTTTTCATTTTGTACAAATAGGATCGGAATTTCTTTCGAAAAATAATTTCCTCAAAATTATTATATACCTACGTTTCTTTTCATTTTGTATAAATGGAACTGGAGTTTCTAGATAGATGGGGTCGTCTCTCTCGCAGGAAACTATTCGATTTAATAAAAAAAAAAAAATAAAACATGTTAATACGAAGGAACGATTTCCGCGTGTAACCGCGCTTTCCTCGCGTTTGCTTCCGTTTCTCCTTTTCGGTTGCGATGTATAGAAAGACGCTTTGCGAATTCGATCGCGCTTACACGGATCGTTTCATCTCCGTTCCGGACGGGAAACATTTCGGTCAGAAAACTGGTACGCGTCCCGCAGAGGACCAATAAAATCGATATCGCGCCGCGCGGAAGTATCGTTTTGTAACGAACCAATTTCACATAGGTCAAAGTAAATCGTCGTACGTGGGATATTGTGTGTATGTGTGTGTGCGCGGTGTAACAAATTCGCGCCGCATTCTTCTGCGTGATACGGTAAATGTGTCCGTTTTCCCGCCATTCGACGAATCCTTCTGTATATAAATTTGTACAAAATTATATCTCTCTTTGATAGAGCGTCGCGTTCACGATTTATATTGTATATCGCGGATAAATGTATTTTTTTGTGCGTTATTCTTCGCAACGCTAATACTTTTCTCGATACGCGTCCGATAAATCTGACGTGACATCGTTAATCTGTTGCACAGCACATACATGCTACAATTTTACCTGGAGCAAGATTTCAGATATTTATTTTTGTATAAATAAATTTGTATAAATTTTTTTCTTCGATTAAAAAAAAATTCTGTACTGCAAATTAAGTTCTTCAGCCTTGTAGCAATCCAAAGTAAGTTCTATTCGCTCTAAGAAAATTGTTTAAATCAAAATTTAATTATGCAGGTGTCATATTTCCTGAAATTTTCCTCGTGATAAAATCGAGATTCAAATATATTGTTTTCATCATTAAAGTGTTTACGGCACAGCTGGAAATCTAACAGGGTGTCTAGCGGTGAGGGAAATCTGGAAAACCGGGCATTGTCAGGGAATTTTATAAATCTGGAATCGTCAAAAAAAAGTCAAGAAATTTTACTGGATTTTTTCACATTATTCTACATTTGAGATTGAATGATTTGAAATTTTTTATTAAATAAGTATAAACTTTTCCTTGATTGCCAGCATGCTAATTTTCTGTGTTGGTAAAAATCGATTCATCTACACCGTGTTCGTTAATTTATATTTTCATCGTCGTGTTATTTTATTTCAATGTGTTTGATAGAGACAAAACTAAAAATTCGATATAATATAAATAAAAAAGGTGATTATTTAAATAGTGACGTTTGTTTCGAATATCGTACATATAATGCAGATTGTATAATTGATTTAAATTTTTGTTTTAACTTCCGAACTTTTCCATTGTTGACAAAAATATCTGAAGGATTTCATGATTTAACATTTAATTAATTTATCATATAGATACATGCAAATTATATATTTGGAAAAAGTAATACTAAAAAGTCAGGGAAAAATTAATTTTTGGTCTTGGAAAATCTGAAAAAATCAGGGAATTTTTTTTCATTGAGTCTGAACACCCTGAAAATTATGTCTTTGTTATACAATGATACTATCAATATTTGATCGAAGAATCCATACAGATTCTCAAGAATAACTAGCATAATGGATAAGATAATACTGCGATATAATTAGAATATTTTACATTTAAAGCTACTTAGCGTCAGACGGCCGATTAAGAGCTTACAATTAGTAGAATAGCAGACTTTATTTAGTATTCTCGTTCACGTTGAAATGCTGCCGCAGATTTACATATTTGGAATTTATATATGAAAAAAATAATGCTAAAAAGTCCGGGAAAAAATGAATTTCTGGTCTTGAAAAATCTAAGAAACTCAGAGAATTTGAGTCTGCTGGACACCCTGTCCAATCTGCATCCCGCGTTTCGTTTCTCGCCGGCAGATCTACCGTATCGTTTCACGAGGCGAGAAAAACATCTGGGGACCGAGAAAGAAGAGAATCCGGAATATGGCACGTGAAGGAGCCATAAAATCGATATTGTAACGCGACGAGTTATCTCGCGCGGTAACGAACCGCTCCCAGGTCGGTTGAAGTAAATCGCGGATCGTACGTATACCGAGGGATATACCTGTAACAAACGAGAACCGCTCACTTTCTTTTCCTCCCGTATAGCTCGCTCTACTCCTTTTCGCCTCTTGTGGGTCCTTTTCGACGCGCGCGCGCGTTTCGCCCTCAGGTTTAAGGCCATAAAGATCGGGTCTCCCGGGTAAAAGGCGGCTCGTTAAGGACGCGCGAGCTGATCTCTCAGCTTCTGCTCGTAAGTACGAATGTATACGTGGACCCGAGGGGGCTTGCCACGTAAGAAGCAGGAGAGAGAGAAAATAGTGGCGGGATAATATCGCGTGTCTGCGGTAAAGATTATTACACCGATCGTATAAAAATAGTCGAAAGCGCGCGATAATGAAACGACGTGCGCCGGGAGAAAAATTAGAGGAGTCTCCCGAGTTGACTGAAAATAGAGCATGTTGGGGGAGATTGATAAATATAACGAGCAAAGTGGATCGAGTGACGACAGCTCGTCTTCATTTCCCGTGAAGATGCTACTGACGCGTATATGAAGGTATATTTTTTCGTGACGTTGAGGATCCTTCAACGATCGATCGGCGGTAATAAAGCGAATCCATCAAATGAACGTTAATGGTGCTCAAATATTAAGTTGTTCGAACGGGAGCCATAGAGTCGTTCGAGGGTTCGGTTAACGAAGCCGACGACGCTACGCGGTTTTTAATGTTGGAAAACGAGATGTAATTAAAAGACTTACGAGCTAACGAAGGCCGGAAATGAATGGCTCGTTGATAACTCAAAATCGCCTCTTCGTAATTCTTCCTGCCCTGCTGTAAGATGCCTCTGCAACAAAGAAACAAAGTCTCTTTTAATATACATTTCAATATAAATTGCAATTAAAAACAATAAAAATGTTTAATTTCACAAAGAGGAAAAAAGTCAAAAGATATCAAATTGAATGTATAATATGTTGGGATCTTAAATAAAGCAGTCATTTCATTCTTGTTTTATCGATAAAACGTGAGATTAGATTCAGCTATAAATCTATTTATCTTTGGCTGTACGGATTGTTTTTTATCCGAAATTAGAACGCTTTTTGCTCTTTGTTAATATTAATGCTTTAATTTGTACAGGAAAAAGACTTATCAATCTGTATATTCTAAGAATTCATAATTCTGTAATCAAGATATATAAGACTATACAGATTGATCAATCTTTTTTCTGTACAAATTCAAGTACCAATATTAACAAAGAGCGAAGCGTTCTAATTTTGGGTAAAAACAATCCGTATAGCCAATAAATAGATTTATAGTTTATTTAATCTCACATTTTGTCGATAAAACAGGACGGAAGTCAGAGATTTCTCAAGGATGTTAGGATCACCTTAACGCGATAAATAATTAATTTTGCAATCTCTAGTTTGCCTTTCGTGATACATTTCTAGCTTTCAAAGATATTCACCTCTTCGATATAATATCAAGTGTCAAACGTTACGAGAAGAAAGGAAAAGTTTTCCGTCTTTTAGACAGTGAGCGATTAATCTTCCCTCGAAAAACGTCACTTTCAGAAACGATATAAAAATATTACTTGTCAAGGCGATGACTTATCGCACATGAGGTTGCTGCTACGCGGTGGGATTAAATTGCGAGCGCAATAAGCGCGATTCGTAATACCTATACACATACGCACACACACATATAAAGAGGTCTCTCTCACTCCTTTCTCACTCTTTTTCGCGCAAAGTTACATATTTTAGAAAGGACCCACCGCTTCGGCGTCGTGGTGATTAATCTTCCGACATAAGTTGTCGCTCGAGGAGCGATGAAAATATCACTTGTCGACAGGTGAAGTATAGTCGGCCAGTCGATGGACGACTCGCGCAAGTACTATCGCCGATATATATTTTTCTCGTAGCACGTTATCGAAATCGGACCGGACGATACCGGGGGCGCAGTTATTTTTCTTGCCTCGCATGTTGCGTTATTTTTCTTACTTCCCGACTAGATCAGAGTTGCGAACAGAATTTTGCGCAAGAGTTATAACGCGGTTCGGAAAATATTTGCGCTCCTTGCATACTACGCTATATTTTTTTTTTTTTAAATTGTGCTACTTCGAAGTAAGATTATAATTTATGTGTATTTTATTTGAATAATGTTATTTTCTAAAATTAAAGAAAAAAGTAAATGAAATTTAAGAGTATATTTATTGTCTTCTTTTTAAGCCTCAGTAACGAAATATAAAATTAACGTCGATAAATTCTCTGACATTTTCTCCGAGATTTTACGGATTAATTACTGGAAATTTTCCGTTTCTTCCGAAGCGGAATTTTGAAAATCATTCTTTCCTTGGAAACAATTAATTTATTATTAAAATTAAGAACATATTTAACGCGCAAATCGAATTTTCACGTCGATGCAGCGTTGCGAAAAAATTATACTAATGAGGCGCTTTGTAAGCCTCCGACGAGCGACGAGCTTGAAGAAAAAAGAAAAGAAGAAGAAAAAAGAAAAGAGAGCGAAAATGGCGAAGAAAGGGGCGAGATGGAACGAGATATTTCCTTTCCTGCCGTGCGAACCTAGCAAGATGAAGAGAATCTCTGTTCGTTAACGAGCCGCTACTCTGCATTCGTTAACTTTCAACAAGACGAAGATTCTCACGGAGTGTACATGTACACCGTCCGTCACTTTGTCGGCTCCTTCTCTTGTAACAATTTCCAGTTTGTGCCAATTTACAATTACATCCTATTCTGCTTAATTTGTTATTCAACTCTTGGCCCGTTTACCGACTGTATACTGCGGCGATTTTATAAATCTTTCTCAACTATAATATAAATCTGTCAGCTTTTACTAAATGTACGATAAAGAGAATCGTAGGATATTACATGTAAAATTAAATGTTTTGCATAATTACGAGAAAAACGATTGTTTTTCTAGAATGCTTAAAAAAATAAAAATAAAAATTCTTAATTTTTTCTAATTTTTCTTGAAATAATGTTTCACCAAGTCGAATTATATTCCATTATAAATGCTTCTTGTCCGATCCTGGCCGTTATATGATTCGATTAAACATACGATAAAGAGAATCATAGGATATTGCAAAGAATAAAAATAAAAATTCTTAATTTTCTAATTTTTCTTGAAATAATGTTTCACCAAGGTGAATTATATTCCATTATAAATGTTTTTAGTCTGATCCTGATTGCTATATGATTCGATCAAAAATACGATAAAGAGAATCATAGGATATTACAAGTAAAATTAAATGTTTCGTATAATTACGAAAGTTTCTTTTAAAAGGCGTGATTGGCTAAAAAATAAAAATTCAGAATTTTCAAATTTTTCTTGAAATAATGTTTCACCAAGTCGAATTATATTCCATTATAAATGCTTCTTTTCTGGTCCTGATCGCTATATGATCCGATCAAAAGTCAACCGCATTTAACGCCAAATGCGAAATTGAGGTACCAGGCAATTTATGCGGATGGCTAGGGAACGAAAAGACAAATCGCGCGCGTAATTCCCCGATGTCGTTCGTTTAAAACACGAAACTTAATAAAGCGACGTGGCGCGTCAAATGCTGTTACCGTCAAACCGCTGTGCGTACGGCGGCTTCGTGGCTTCGTAGTTCAAACGGGAACGTGTTTCCGCACATCGACAAAATAAACCGCAATCGGTTGGTCGAATCGCGCGGATATAATTATACGAATTATCCCGGCTACCCTGTACAGATATAACGACGCAGGTTCGGTTTTACTATACAACGCGATCACCGTTTTGTGTGCGATGGCGCGGTTTCGATGGCAAAGCCAGGACTTTCCGAAGGGTTCCGTTGGAAAATTTCGTTCGTAACAAGACGCGGAAAAAGGGAAGCAAGAAATAAAAAAAAAGAAAGAGAAAAACAGTTAGAAGATCGAGGAGAAAGAAAGAAGTATACAGAAAATTGTCGTCGAATATCTGATCGTTTTTATGCGACGAGCCAATAAAATAGAAACGTAAAACGTTCAACGTATCATGCGAATGTGTGCCGATAAAAACTCGTCGAAAAGTTGCTTCGACTCATGACGCGCGAATGTGCGTACTTCAACAAGACTGAAAATGCAAACGCGGTGCACCGAGAGAGATGCATACGAGATTCTGCGAAACGTTATTTCGAATCTAACGCAATCGAATACTGGTAGGTCGCGATCGTCGACCTTTATCACTTAATATCATTGAAAAGTTCGCCGTAATCTTTACGTATAGAATATTTAGTTTTTTTCTAGACATTTTTCTAGACGTTTACATATTAATTTTTGTACTAAATTATTCAATTGTACGTACCTACATAATGTAATAATGTAATAGTTAAAGAAATTAATTTGTTGAAATTAATGTGTTGATACAAGCGTTTTTACAGAGTCTTTTTCATTCGTGGAATTTTATTAATTTCGATGTACCTTATGGTCGATTTACATTCGTAAAAGAGTTATTTAAATAAAACTTTGCTTTTATTCTTTTATCGAAATTTTTTGTTTGTGTTTAATATTTAAAATTTTTTCTTCTGTTTTTAACATTTTAGGCAAGTTATGTTCAAACGAGAGAAAAATAATCGACTGAAGCGTTGCTTATCTAATTAAATAATTTAGAATGCATCTCTTTGTTTACATAAACTATTCTTACACATCCGGTGACAACATTTTCAGTTTTATTATTAGAGGCTTATTGGCCTTTATATTATTTTCATCAAGCAATATCGAAGAATGACTTCTTTAAATAGCAACATTTCAGTTGTTTACGTAAAATCTATCCACAAAATTACGTAAAATGCAATTTTTGAGCAATTTATTATTAGAAGTTCTTAAGTATCGTGAATTATTATTATGAATCGAGCATGCAAATTGATTACGCGTAAATGTAGCTATTAAAATGCAGACTGAATAATGCAAAAGAAGCAAATTGAGTAAACAAATTTGTAATTTTATTGAAATATTAAATATTTACGTGTTACCCGACTCGGTATTCTATATCGATCGGACTCTATCCTAGCTAACTAAATTTAACTAAACTTAACTCATACAACTTTACCTCAATGATAGCGATCGTGCTTGTTCCCAATAGACCACAAAGTATAATAATTGCATGCGAAAAATTCGCACACCCGATGATTTAAGTTCGATATAAAAATTTAGGTGTAATAAATCTAACTTTAATTACGTATATATGGTATACGATGTATATGTATATGCGCTTTTATATTTTGCAAAAATATAGATTACACAAAAGTTCTCATCATCATAAAATTATATTTTAAATTGTTTTGGCGTAATATTGAGCAGATAATTAGATGTAAAAACCGATAGAGGCAAAAGCTTTCATCATAATAACGAGGAATGAGTTACGCGATGATTATATGTACAGTATAGCATGAATTATTGCATAATTTGGTATCGCGAGAGAAAGCACAACCGCGATCTCTCTTCAACAAATAGTTTGTTACGCACACAAGACATAAAAAAAAAATATATATATATATATATCAGCACAGAGGAAAAATATGTTGCCTCTATAGTTATATATTTCTATTTACATACGCGCGTATATTTAAAAAAAATGTCCGCTGTATATTAAATTTCAAATGAGAGCCTCGTCGCTCGGAACCGATATTAAAAAAATGTTATTATTCGCACATAGCGCGTGCATTCAATATGCCGCTAATTTTTTGCATATGTTTCGCGGCCACGTATACAAAATTACGGACACGTGATATAAATCATGCGTCTCGCCTCGCGCGTTTTCGCATTTAATTATGCGGCTCGTTGCGATGTGATAACGCAAACGATGCATATGAGCCTAAAAAGTTGATTG